TTAGTACACATATTGCCATGAGGGTCACTTTTGATGTTGATGAGCCTGATCCTAGTGATCAGGATCACTTGTGAGGTTGCAGTCAAGATGTTGGCCGTGACTTCAGTCTGAAAGCTTGACTTGGGCTGCAAGATCCACTTCTGACATGGCTCATTCACGTGGTCACTGGCTAGAGTCCTCAGTTCCCTGCTAACCACTGTATTGGCGGGAAGCCTGTATTCCTCATCACACAGACCTCTCCAAAGGGTTGTTTGAACATCCCCACAACATGGTAGTTTCCCCTAGTGCAAGCGATTCAAGAGAGAACCAGGAGGAAACAGCAGTGTCTTTTACGTCCTAATTTTAGAAATTGCAGGCTGTCACCTTTGTCACTCATTAGATGTGGATCATTAAGTCTATCATATACTTGAGGGGAGAGAAATCAAACTGCACGCTTTGAAAGGAAGAGTGTCACAAAATTTGTGGACACAGTTTAAAATCATCATAGACGAGCTTCTGAAAATTTAACTGCATATGTATATAATTGGAATAAAATTGTCTACCAACTTTCTTGGTAAATTTTCACATGTTCCTTATAAGTTTTATCACATAAAAATAATTTAATCAGATGAAAGAAGTAGTGAAACTGTCCAATTTATATCTTTAAAATAATATTCTTGCTAGAACATTACTAATTAGTCAAGACAACTCCAAAGTATATGTAATGTTTTACTGCAGTACAGAATAGTACAAAGAAGGTAAAATATCATCTAGCTCCCAGTGAACATAGGAGTAGCCAGCACTTCCTGAGTGCATGCTGTGTACAGTACAACTGCAAAAGCCGAAACCTGTGTAAAGTGAAAACCTGTCAGAGAAGGAAAACTAAGACATTTTCCACTAATAGAGTATGATGGAAAAGTGGGAAGACTGCACCCTGCCAAAGGCAGAAAGCTTGTGAAACCCAGAAAAACAAGGCAGCTCCATTGAGTTCCGGCTCTTACAGGCTCCTGTAATAGACGCTGATCTAAGGTCTCAATATGTGCTATCTTATGTAATCTCCACAAAACTCTATAACGTAGGTCTGTTATTATCCCCGTTTTACAGAGGAGGGACAAAAAGTTTAAGTAATTTGTCCAAGACCAAATCAAGGCTGACCCCAGATCCCAGCTGTTAACCTCTACTGTTTAACAGATATCTTTAAACCATATGTAAGGAGTCCCTGGGTAGCACAAATGGTTAAGCACTGGACTGCTAACTGAAGGGTTGGTGGTTCACACTGAAGTAAGGCCTGTCTGCTTCTGAAAGGTCACAGCCTTGAAAACTATGGAGCAGTTCTACTCTTCACACTTCGGGTCGAAAATCAACTCAACAGCAGCTAACAACAACAATATGGACAGATGGTTGGATAAATGGATGGATATTCTTTCATTAACATGGGA